TTTGGAGTATTGATGTTCGTAATTATTTCTATTAAAATCATTAAACTTATGCCAGTACTAGTAATTTGGATCAATTTTATTGCAATAATCAGGCGTTTGGTAGAATTTTGGTTAATATGTAATTCACCTTTGTTTACTTTTGGTTAAAATACCATATTTATATGATGGACATAATGACATAGTTGGACATAGTACTGGTTTGCAAGCATTACAGGACCAAGAAAAAAAAATAAATTTATCGAAGATGTTTGGTTTTTAACTTCTATTCCGAGTATGCAAAAATAATTGCTAAAAACAGACAAAAAGATCCAACGGGTATAAAGATGAGACTTGCATTTGTTGCAAATGATCTATTTTCTTTGGCTGATGTCCCGAAGAGAACCAAACCATTTATTTGTGAACTGTCTGCTTCAAAATTAGTATTTTAGTATGTCCATACTATATGGACAAAATGGTTTTTGAAATTGTTTGCATTTTTCCTTAATAAATATGTTATTCATAGATAAACAAGTATACAATATACAATAAATATACAATGTATATGTTACTATAGTTTCTATTTAATTAAAAGACTGGTAGTTATTATTGCTGGTAGTCAATGAACCATAGATGAGTAAAAACGATCGAGATAGCTTATTATCAAATAAATATCATTAAAAACTAAACACTGTGTCATTTTGTTCGTGGTTTCTCTACTTTCTTTTTATATTTAACAAAAATGCAATTTGGATAGAATTATGCAATTTCAATCTAACTTAACTAAGAAAACAAAAATGAAGTTAACTATTTATCTTCAACTATTTTATTTCTTATCTGGCAATTAAAAAATAGATTCAAGGACAATAACGTTGCTTAATGCTGAAAGCGTGAAACAAAGAGGTAATTGTTTCTTTGCGTATGCAGTAGTATGCACAAATATTTTATACTTGTTTAATTAACTGACAAACTCATTGATTATAATCATGATCATAGATCAGGCGAATGTTTACTAATATACTAGTCACACTTTTAATTATTTTTTTTAATTATTTATATTTATAGCTTGTGAAACTGGTAGTTATGCAAACTATCAGGTTGGAAACTATATAAGTACAGTTCTTTGTTGAAAAATCTAAGACATTTTTTCACGGAACTAAATAACTAAATTTTGTAATGTTTTGCTCATTTTGATCAATGACAAATGTAATCTTTCAAGCAGCATCATAATCCCACATTCATAAAACTTTCGGTTTTTATTAGCAAGAAACTAAACCAAGTTCAATTTGATACCATCATCATTAATAAAACTTTTAACATTCGAAAACATTTCTAAATCAATTTTTACACTATAGCTTCTTTAAAGTCATCTCAGAGAGAAGGCCGCACTTGGTTCAATATCATCATATTTTTTAATGATTTTATTCAATAGAAATATCTATTACAGATGCCAATCAGCATAAAGATTTATATCTTTTGTTCTGTATCCCCAATATAAACCGCATATATATTCTCTATTTTACATCTGCAGTTTTAATTGAATTGCATTGCAAAGTAATCAATTAAAAAATTGAATCATCGAACAAATTGAACAAAGTTCTAATAAAATTTAGAAAGAATTATGGAATGACGTGGTACAACGTAAAGCCTAATGCAAAAAATAGCTATTAATAATAAACAGATTTTTTTAAAATTCATTACATTTACAATTTTTAAATTCATATTTTAATCTTAAAATATTTTGGATTAGGTGGTAGATTTCATTATTTATTCATATTTATTCTGATTCATTATTATTAACTTCTCGTAGAGTAAGATATAAAAATCGAAAAAAAAATGAAAATGACATTTTTTACATATCTCCACGTTTCAGAAGTTTCTAAACATTTTCGCATACTTTGAAAAAAAAATGGGTGTATATATGTGTAGTGTGTATGTATGTGCGAATACAATTGTTTCCGACGTTTTTGAGAACACCAATTAACCGATTTAAATAATTCAAAAAACATTTGAAGCCTATTGATGGAAAGACGTCCTGAGTAGTTTTTAGCAACGGCAGGCATAGGTGTTTTTGAAAAATTTGAAAAATTAGAAATTCTGTAAAAACTAGATTTTTTTTAAATACATTAGTTTTTTTAGAATTTAAATAAAAATGTTAAATCAAATCAGATCAAATTGATTTTGTATTGTTCGCAGATTCAGAATAAATTAAAATTCAAAAATTAAAGATTAAATTTCGTTTTGAACTTTCTTCTGTATTAATTAATAGATAGAATTGTTAATGTATTACCTGGCAATAGTATATTTTTCATTAATAAATACAAGCAAATATTTCATTTATTTTAAGGTTCTGAAAAATATCATTTGCTGTTTGTTAAAAGAATAGAAAATTAACAATTTCATACACCTTCGTGCAGTGATAATTCCAAACAATTATTTATGATCATAAGTAATCTAAAGTTATTTTTGGAAAATACGGAATAGACCAATGTCAAAATTTATTGATTCTTGCGTAAATCGAGTGCAAAATAATTTATCAATGATTCATTTTATGATGGGTATTTTCTAATTCACTAAAATCAGATCCGGGTATTTCGGAAATATTATCGTCAAATCTTATCAATTTGTTATATCTACAAAAAATTTGCGACCTTTGTCAAATTAGTCTATAGCGATGACTCATTTTGCGAGACGATCGACCGAATAGTTTTTTTTAGAATAAGTACAAGAGGACAAAATTTTTCGTCTATGTTAATGCAAAAAATCCTGAATCGATTTTAATAATTTAGCTAGTGGGGCGCATGGCATCGTGCCTTAAGGCAAATTGTTGGAACTTCCGTACCAATTAACATTTTTAAAAAATTTGCTTTGATAAAATAGATTTTTGAGAAACTATAAATTTTTGACTAAAATTTACTTTTTTTGAAAAAAGACTCTTTGATAAATGATGTTTTGAATATTTTGAAATATTTTGGAAATTCTAAACTTTTTTTCCACGTCGCCGTCTAACGGATAAACATTGATACAGAACCCATAGTAATGTAAAAAAAATTATATTAATTGTTAAAATCTCTATATAATATCTGATAATTTTATGTGCATATGTCTAATGATCATTTTTAACCGCCAAATAGCATTTTTTTCACTAGATCTCCGAAACCGCTAGACTGGGCTTCATGAAAATTTAATCAGTTCTTCATCTTGCTAATACAAGTGCAATGTTTTTTGAATTATTGAAACCTCACGCTCCGTTCTCTTAAATACTGAGTTAGTGTTTGTGGCACTTTTTGCCCCGTATCTTCGAAACGGTTAAACCTGCCTATGCCAAAAACTAATCACTACGTCTCCTTATCAACAGGTATCGAATGTTTTTTTGAATAATTGCAATCGGTTGAACCGTAGTCCCGAAATTGTCGACGAAAATTTGTATCCGCATACACATACACGCACGCACACATACACACACACATGCATCTATTTTTTCGAAAGAATGCCAAAATATTCAGAAACGTAAAGATGTATAAAACTTTTCATTTTCGATTTTTTTGCGATTACTATAATTTACCCCACCGGAAGTTAATTACAATACGGGAAGTTAAAAATTGTTTTGCCGGATCATTTGTTCGTAATTAATTGTTCACATTTTTGCATGAATTTGATAAAACTTTGAACGATGATTGAGTTTAAAGATTAATAATAATATTCCTGAATGTTCATAATATATTTTACTCACAAAAATATAATAATTATTTATTTAAAAATAAAACATATAAATTCAAAAAAAAACTACTTAAAGAAAATGAAAGAATTAGAAAGAAAATACTTTTAATTTCCAGAAGGAGAAGTTTGTTTTAGAGTAAAAATCCGATTTGCTAATTTCATATTTTCTCCACGTCACTCTGAATCAAATGAAAAGTATGAGCGTGTGTATGTCAGCCGATTTTTGTCCTTTCGTCGACGTTTTATCTAAAATGGCTGGACCGATTTTAAATATTTAAAAGCCATTCGCATTTCAATTTGCGCGAGAATCAACCAAGCCATTAGCAAAAAAGTGTAAATAGTTTTGTCCACGTAAATAGTTTTTAAAATTTCAAAAGCTGTTCTAAAGATATTTAATTCATACAATAATAGATATTATAAGTACGTCTCAAAGTATAAATTTAAACTCGTTTTTAATAAAAACAAAGTCTTTATTTTCAAAATAACGAAATACCAAATCAAATTAGCTAATTCTAATTCTTGAGATTAAAGATGCAGCAGTTTTAGGGAAACAAACAAAAATGTTTGAAAAATATGATCATTAGATATGTACACGTTGATTTATCAGATATTTTATAAAAATTTTAATAATGAGTACTGATTTTGTTTTAATTTTTTGGGTTCGGCGCTTACATGCTTCTATATTTTGAATGTGAAACAGCTTCAAAACTTCAAAAATCAAATTTTCAAAATTTAAAAAAAATTAAAATTTCAAATTATTCAAAGTTTTTACAAAATTTTAAATCTTTTAATATTTATAGGTATTAACGGTACGGGAAGTTCAAGCATTTGCCTTAAGGTACGATTACTTTAAAGTAATAGTTTCATTTTATGCAATATTTATGTATGTATTAAGAAAAATTTGTTTGTATGTTTATATGTATATATGCACGACCAGCAGTGACATTGCACGTAATGGTCACGATTCAAGGATGACTTTTTCAATCAAAGTCTTTTAAGCGGCGGTCGTGTTTGTGTATCTTATAACTACTTTTCAATATTCACATCTTACATCAGTCTGTCTGGAACATCCGCACAGATATCATATATCACAATCGGATATTCTTTACAGAACAGAATTTTTTAGATTTATAATATTTAACAAGTTTTGTACCATAATTGTACTCATTATTTTTCACATTAACTTTGTTATATGATATATCAGAGTGAAATTTTCTTAAAGTCTACATCAGTTAATTTATAAAATAGTTGAGTGATTTGTTTTATATTGTGAAGTGATGTAGTGCAAATTTTGCAATTTTAGTAAAAAATTTAAAAGAGTGATATCATTTATTTATTTTGTAGCATATTATTAATTGCATAAGGTAAGTTTTATTCAAAATAATATATTTAATATTAATGCATATAATTTGTTTAATTTTGATAAATTATATTTATTGAGTATTCATAATTGATTGATTAATTGATTTCTACTTGGAAAGACACTTATATATAAGTATCTTTCCACGTAGAAATAAATCGTGGCGCAATATAGTTGCTTTAATAGTTTTTCAATATTGCCCTAATATTTTTCTGTTAACGTTTTTCTATATAAAACCAATATTGAAACCAATAAGGGCGCCATGTAATCCCAATATAACTATATAATATGAAACTCCCATGCAAAACTAAAAAAAATGAGCTCTTTAAAAATAATTACAATCAATACAATAATCAATGTTACAATCAATAATTATAATCAATATTTAACACACATTAGAAATCATCATAAAATCTATATAAATCAAAAATATTTACTACACATAAAAAACCAATATGAGTTCAATAAAAAAACAATATTTACCCCAAATTAAAATATATTATTTACCCCACATTAAGAAATATTATTTAATTTATATTGAAAAACAGCATGTAGATCATTTCTGAGTTTAGTGCGACGATCGGCCGATCTGTAAATCGCAGACAAATAGAAAAAAAAATCGTCCACGTTTAAGCCCGCCATTCTGAATCGATTTTGAAAATTCAAAAACCGTTCGATAGATATTGGTTGGGAATCGTGCTGATTAGTTTTTGCTAAAGACCGGCCGGGTGGTTTTCTTGTAATAATGTTAAAAAAAAATTCAACGATTTTAACTTCCCGTAGGGTAAGTTATTGTAATGGGCCGAAAATCGGAATTGAAAATTTTAACATTTCTCGACGTTTTGAAGGTTTCTGAACGTTTTGGCATACCTCAGAAAAAATGGAATTGTGTGTGTGTGTATGTATGTGTGGATACAAATTTCCAGTCACGTTTTAGAGCGCACGGATCAACCGATTTGAATGGTTCAAAAAACATCCGATTCCTATTGATAGGGAAAAGAGCTGATTAGTTTTTGGCAAAGGCAGGTCCAGCCGTTTCGGAGATATGGAGCAAAGAGTATTTTTGAGAGAACGGAGTATCCGATTTGAATGATCTAAAAAACATTCAATTAGCAATGATTGGGAGAAGTGTTTATTAGTTTTTGGCAAAGGCAGGCACAGCCATTTTGAAGATACGGAGCTAAATATGTAAAAAATGACAGTTTTTGAGAGAACAAAGCGTCCGATTTAAATGATTCAAAGAACTTTCTGCTTGTCTTAACAAAATAATCGATTTTGGAAAAAAAAAATTTGTCCCTTTTTTTTTGTATATCGAAAATTTCTAATTCTGACTATAGTTCTAATATACTTTACAAATAATATACTTTACAAATAATTTCAACTCTGCAATTCAGTTTATATAATATTTATAAATATTAGACAATGTTACAATATTTATAATAATCTATTTGAAAACATTCAGTAATCCTCGAACATTTCGTTACGGTACGGGAAGTTCCAGCAATTTGCCTTAAGGCACGATGCCACCCACCCCACTAGTTTATTATTTTTTTGACAGTAGATACCATAGTCTTCTAGATTATACTAAAATATTATGGCCCTACGACAACTCGTTTAGCTTTAAAAATTCGTCAAATTTTGCAAAAATTGGTATCGTTTTTTTGGCATTTGTCAAAATTAGACCTTTCATCGGCGTTTGCTCAAAAACGCCTGAACCGATATCAGGAATTTAAAAGCCATTTGATGTATCTCGATGAGAATTATCGTTTCTCAGTTTTGAGCGACGATCGACCAAGTCGTTTCTTTGTAATTTGTCCACATTTAAGCTCATACTACCGAATCGATTTTAAAAAATAAAAAACTGTTCGAAAGATATTATTTGGGAATGATACTGATTAGTTTTAGGTGAAAATCTTCTTGTAGTTAACTGTTTAAAAAAAATTCAAGCCGATTTTTATGGAACTTTTTTTGGTGATATATATAATGGTCTTATTGGATCTATATATATGGAGCTTACTGAAATATTACGGCCTTGCGACAAGTAGTTTAGTTTTAAAAATTCATCAAAGTTTGAGAAAATGAGTAGTTTTTTTGACGTTTGTTAAAATTAAAGTTAGACAATTTACTTGGTATAATGATAGAGTGCTTGGTCTTAAAGAACATACTAAACCATTAAAGTCCTACGGAAACTGGTTCAATTATGAAAATTGTTGATTTTTGAAAATTTGCTTTTAGAAAATACTCAGTTAACGTGATTGTTCGTTTTTAATGATATGTAATAAATGTACTCGGAATACTTTTAATCACTCAACAATTAATTTTATTAACTTCCCGTAGGGTAAGTTATAGTAATCGCAAAAAAATCGAAAATGAAAATTTTTACATATCTTTACGTTTCAGAGGTTTCTGAATATTTTGGCATACCTTAGAAAAAATGGATGTATGTGTGTGTGTGTGTGTGTGTGTGTGTGTGTGTGCGTGTGTGTATGTATGTGCGGATACAAATTTTCGTCGACGATTTCGGGAACACCGATCAACCGATTTGAATAATTCAAAAAACATTCGATTCGTATTGAAAAGGAGACGTGCTGATTAGTTTTTGGCGAAGTCAGGTCTAGCCGTTCCGAAGATACGGGGTAAAAAGTGCCGAAAACGGTAACTCAGTTTTTAAGAGAACGGAGCGTCCGATTTTAATAATTTAAAAAACATTTTACTTGTATTGACAAGGTGAAGAACCGATCAAATTTTCATAAAGGCAGGTCTAGCGGTTTCGGAGATCTAATGAAAAAAGTAAAAAAAAAATGCCATTTGGCGGTCAAAAATGATCATTAGACATATGCACATCAAATTATCAGATATTTTCTAGAGATTTTAACAATAAGTATAATTTTGGTTTACATTCCTATGGATTCCGTACCAATGTTTACGCGTTAGACGTCGACGCGGCGCTTACGCGGTTTGATATTTTGTCTTTATGCAGTTAAAGCAGTACGATTGCTTTGAAAAAAGTTTAGATCTTTCAAAATATGTCAAAATAAAGAAAACATTTTTTTTTTCAAAAAAAAAAAATTAAAAAAAAAATTAAAAAAAAAAAATTTCAAAAAAAGTAATTTTTTGTCTAATTGTTTTTCAAAAATCTTATTTTTTTGAAGTAAATTTTTTTCAAAAATGTTAATCGTTTTTAAAAAAATAATAATTTTTGGTACGGGAAGTTCCAGCAATTTGCCTTAAGGCACGATGCCATAATTGCCTTAAGACAGAATTCCACTTACAGCTAGTTTATTTTTTTATTGATTTACTTTTTATTGAATAAGTCGATTATTTGCACATATTGGAAAGTTGATGTAACTTGCCTCAAGGCAAAATACCAATACCAACTAGTTAACTTCCCGTAGGGCAAGTTATAGTAATCGCAAAAAAATCAAAAATAAAAATTTTTATATATCTTTACGTTTCAGAGGTTTCTGAACATTTTGGCATACCTTAGAAAAAATGGATGTATGTGTATGTGTGTGTGTGTGTGTGTATGTATGTGTGTGTATGTATGTGTGGATACAAATTTTCGTCGACGATTTCGGGAACACGGATCAACCGATTTGAATAATTCAAAAAACATTCGATTCGTATTGATAAGGAGACGTGCTGATTAGTTTTTGGCGAAGGCAGGTCTAGCCGTTCCGAAGATACGGGGCAAAAAGTGCCGAAAACGTTAACTCAGTTTTTAAGAGAACGGAGCTTCCGATATAAATAATTCAAGAAACATTTCACTTGTATTGATAAGATGAAGAATCGATAAAATTTTCTTGAAGGTAGGTCTAGCGGTTTCGGAGATATGGAGGAAAAAGTAAAAAAATGAGCCATTTGGCGGTCAAAAATGATCATTAGACATATGCACATCAAATTATCAGATATTTTATAGAGATTTTAACAATAAGTATACATTTTGTTAACATTCCTATTGGTTCCGTACAAATGCTTATGCGTTAAACAGCGACGCGGGGCTTACGTGCTTTATATTTTGTCCCTATGCAGGTAAAGCAGTACGATTGCTTTGAAAAGAAAGTTCAGATCTTCCACAAATGTCAAAATAAATAAAAAAAATTTTTTTTTCAATAAAAAAAAATTATCATTTTTTTTTTTTTTTTAATTTTTTTTTTCAAAAAAAAGTAATTTTTTGTCCAATTTATAGTTTCTCAAAAATCTTATTTTTTTCAAAGTAAATTTTTTTCAAAAATGGTAATCGTTTTTAAAAATATAATAATTTTTGGTATGGGAAGTTCCAGCAATTTGCCTTAAGGCACGATGCCTTAATTGCCTTAAGACAGAATTCCACTTACAGCTAGTTTTGTTTTAATTCTGGATAAAAAGAAGAATCGGATTTGATTGTATAAAATAAAACCTTTATCTGTTATAAATTAGCTATTTGTGTAAATCTCTAGATCGATAGCTTCTCTATGCCTAATATGTTAAAAAAAGCATGTAGAGCGATAAAACATAATTACAAATAAAAAACTTATTTCACGAAAGTCATTGACCGCAATGGTAAATCTAAATAAAACTGATTATTTAAATCGTCATTATAAAATTATTAAATAGATTTATATAAAGCATGCAATGTAACCTTAATGACATTTTACAAACAAATTTGATACAATTTCATTTATATTTTGCATATTAAATGCATAGTAAATGATATTTTTTCTATTAACGCAGGATATTGGAAATAAATTTGAAATACCTTAAAATGTTAATTTTTTGTTATTATAAAGTTTCATTATTTTAACATTTAATTTTAACGATAACTGAAATGATATCAATCAACAGTTAATATATATGTACCTTAATACCATTTTATGAACATGATTAATAAGTCCATTTTCTGTCAATTTCAAAAATAACTAGCTGAAAGCGGAATTTTGCCTTAAGGCAAATTGCATAAGCTTCCGGATACTTGTTAAATTTGACTTAATCAACTGAAATTGAAACTTAGATATTAAGATAAATTTTTCAACTGTTTATTTCGAAAATATAGTTTTGGCTTTCATTTAAATCTAAGCATTACGAATTTCAATTGAAATCTTTCAAACATATTTAAATCATCGGTAATTATATTAATTTGCACAGACACGTGCTTAAATATCCTAAAATTTTAGTTTATTATTCTACATTTGAATGAATTGACAATGACAACGTGTATGCTGTAAAAATTTTTAGTGTGTTTTTAGGCCAAGATATACGGATAATTACAAAGACAATGCTTGCCCAATCATTGTCCAAAATTAATCACCACAACTTCCAAATAATATTTTTCAAAAAAATTTTGGATTTTTAAACCGATTCAGGATTTTTGGCTTAATCGTGGACGGTGATATTTGGGTATGTTCTAGAAGACTATGATATCTATCGTCAAAAAAAATCATAAAAATTGTTGAATAATTTTTTTCAACAATTAATTAGGGTAGAGCGGGGCTAGTTGAGCATAGGGGCAAGTTGAGCAATCGAAATATCTCGAAAACTATTCGCCGTTCGTTTAGGCATTATATGGCGGAAAGATAGATGTTCGGGAGAAATAAACATCCGAGTAAGGCTCAAGGGCGTTTTGTTTCTTTTGAGACCAAAAAGTAAAAAAGTAATTCATCACGAGTTTTCGCCTGGTTTAGTCAAATGTTATTTATTTTTAATCAGGTAAATGTTATTTTTCCATATAATTATAGTACTTTTAATATGCACAGAGATTCTGGGTATAATTCTCACGTTTTCTTTTATAAACTCACTTTTATTTTGAAATTCCGAGTTGGGGTTAGTTGAGCATAGTTGCTAAACTTGTTCTGTCGCTAAGACAATTACCACTAACTTCCAGAAATTAATTATTATTTTTAAGATTTAAGCTAAGTCTATGAGTAAATATAAAGAAATAATGATCTTAAACAAAAATACTGAATATAATGGTAAAACAATATCGTATTGTTTTGTTGATTCTACTTTTGGTTAATTATTCAAAGAAAATTACTATAAGTTTTGTTTTCTCTGTCCATAAAGACTATAAATATAGAACTGGTTATTAAAAACTTATTTTATTTTATCTCTAATCGACATTGAACCTATAATTTCATTATACTTTCTTAGTGCTCAACTTGCCCTACCTATGGGGTACATTGAGCATACTTGACTTTTTGCATTCAAACAGCTGTAGCTTTTAAATTTTACTTATTACCAAAAAATAGTATTAACACTTTTGTTAAGCGATAAACTGCAAATCCATTAAGCCGTATAGAAACTTATTGAGACTTTTCTTTGAGAAGCTACATCCGTTTAAGTAAAAATTTGCTCAACTAGCCCCGCCCTACCCTACAATAACTTGCGCTAGCGAATTTTTACCAAAAACTGATCAGTTAAACCAATAATAATACCAACAATACCAAAAACCAATAACTCTCGTATGGTTTTTGAGTTTTCAAAATCGATTCAGAATTGCAGACTAGAGCGTGGTCAACATTGTTTTACTTTTCTGGTATTTACAAAGAAACGGCTTGGCTGATCGTCGCGTAAAACTGAGAAACGCTAGTTCTTATCGAGTTACATCGAATTAATGAAAAGATAAATTCAAATTGTTTATACACGGTTTCGTAAAATATCTTGAACTAATTTTGGAAATTTAAAATCTGTTATTTGTTATCGGAAAAATATAAGATGAAGATTGTCTTAATCAGTTACGAGCATAGATTGTTCTGACCATAATTGTGTTATGGTTATAATGCAACTTGTTAGTCGCTAGAGTTCATGGTTTTGTCTAAACAGAAATATAATGGTACGAAAATTGTTTGAATTATAAAAAAAATCATTAAAATTAGAAATATGCCATGCTTTTTGGACAAGCAACATCCGTTTGTACACTTTAAAATTCATGCAATTAAAGAAATTTTATTAGATTTAGTTTAGATTAGATTAGTTTTTAACTAAAACAGAAAATTTATTATTAAAACAATTGTTTAAATTTTGTTCTGGATAGATACATATTTTAATTATTATTGAATATGTCGACAATTTACAATTATCGGGCAGTTGCAACTCGTCTTAAAACAAATACACCTTTTTGTCTTCTGGTACAATTATGTTTTAAAAATTAGTACGTTAGTACATATATACATACTAAATAATTACGATCTTAATGACATAAGTTGTGATTCATTTTTGTTCCGGTAGCCGTCGTTCAACAATGATCAACATTGTAAATCACATTGAATTACATGTTAACATGTTAACATAAAATTAGCATTTTTAGCATCTATCTAAAAATTTCTTTTGCCTTGAAATAATATTTTACATATTTGCCAATGTAATATTGATACTGTAGATATATTTGTACTCGTGGCTAAGGCATTTGTTGATAAATTATTTAAAATTTGCGATTATGGGATAACACTGCAACTAGTATGTGATACTGTGAATCGTATTTTTTTATTATAGTTTGATTAGTATATTTGTAATTGATTAAACTTTCTCAATTAAAAAACCTGTCTAATTTTTAATTTCCCATAGGGCAAGTTATAGTAGTCGCAAAAAACCGAAATGGAGCTTTTGAAAAATTTCCCGATATGTGTAAATGATCGAAGTAATCAATAAAATATAAAAAAATAATTTGAGTGATTAAAAGTTTCCCGAGTAAATTTATTACACATCAATAAAACGAACGAACACTCTATCGTTATACCAAGTAAATCGTCTAATTTTAATTTCAACAAACGTCAAAAAAACTATTCATTTTCTTAAAATTTGATGAATTTTTAAAATTAAACTACTTGTCGTACGGCTGCAATATTTCAGTAAGTTTTATAAGACCATGATATATATCGCCAAAATAAGTTCCATGAAAATCGGCTTAAATTTTTTTCAACAGTTAATTACAAGAAAACGGCTCGAGGTAATCAGTATCATTCCCAACTAATATCTTCCGAACAGTTTTTGATTTTTTAAAATCGTTTCGGTAGTATCAGCTTAAATGTGAACGAAGAGTTTAACACTTTTTTTCTAATTATGAAGAAACGGCTCGGCAGATCGTCTCATAAAACTGACCGAAACCGATAGTCCTCATTGAAACACATCAAATGATTTTAAAATTTTTGAAATCGGTTCAGGCGTTTTTGAGCAAACGTCGATGAAAGGTCTAATTTTGACAAATACCCAAAAACGATACTAATTTTTGCAAACTTTGTCGAATTTTTAAAGCTAAACGAGTTGTCGTTGGGCCGTAATATTTTAGTATGATCTATAAGACTATGGTATCTACCGTCAAGAAAAAAATCATAAAAGATCGTGATAACACTATGGAATGCAGACTGCAAACATTTTTAACTTAAAGCAAAAATTTGAAATCAGTTCGATAAAGTCCTATTCATTTACTTATTTATATATTACTATAAGATATGAATGATTTAGAGAAAAATCAATTAATTACGCCTAATAGCATGGTAATATAACTAAAATATTTATGTATTTTATATTATTTAACTATAAACTTAATCTATTTTTACTATATAATATATAAAAATTTTGCTTTCACTCTATATTAGTTTTACTTACTTAATTAGCTCACCTAATTATAATTATAAAATATATACCTAAAAGTAACTTTATAAAGATTTTTTTAATTAATTAAGTTTATTTCAGACTTATAAAAAGCGAATTAATCTGGCAAAATCTACTGCTCTTTTTTATATCTTTTACTCAATAAACGAAAAACATTTTATTATTATAATTGAACGTAAACAATGCGTAAAATTTGCTCATCTTCTGAATAAATAATGAGCTCTGAAGAAGAGTGATTTTTACATTATACAAAATCAGGTTTTACTTAATAATTAAGTAGTATGTATGATCATTGTTTTTGTTATTGATTCGAGCGAAGATATACCTTGTTAATTTATTCATAATTATGTGTAAAATGTTTATTCAGTCATTAACTGGATTTTTATAAAATTTATGTATAGTAGTATTGCTTACGAGTAAAGTTTTTTTTGACTATGAAACTTATGTGATAATTTTAATCTTTTTCTATTCTTTCAGGTCTCTCACAATGAATTTGTGGTCTCTTTTTCTTGTGATCCAGTCGATAGGTTTTACTTCTATTTTAGCACAAGGTAATCTTATTAAATAAATTGATCACAATTTTCAAAGAGCCCTGCTCCCTGCTCTGTCTTCTATTGTAAAATGCCTAAAAGTTTGAAACAGATCTTTGTTATCCATGTTTCAATGACCCTGGTTTCTATTACAAAAACTTCTAATATTTATTTATACTACCTTAATTGCAAAAATTTAAAAACAAAATAGAAGCATTAGTATTTTATATAATTTTAATAGGCATGCTCATATATCAAGTAAGAAATGAAAAGCACGCGTTTTATACAAATAATAAACATTTCGTGTCGAGCTGTAACCTCAACCTCAACTATTACATTTTGACTAAACTTTATAAAAATATCATATTTTGAAATTTATGAGCCGATTCTGCCGTAAAATAAATCAATGATATGGCAGTACTATGTTACACTCCAGTTTTCAAACAAAATGATACCGAAAACTGTCAAAATTCCATGTAGTGCGATCAGGCGTTTTACACATAAAATGCAACTTTACTCATATGTTATCAAGTCATATCTCAAAGATGCAGTTATGATAACATCGTTTTGTTTTTGACATTTGCGCGTTTTCTAAATTAGGTTTTCTATCTAAAAAGTCTGACTGCACAGTAACCACATTGGATTTTGATAGATTTTAGTACTACTTTATATGAAAACTGCTACATAACATAGCCTTGCCATAACATTGGTCTATTTTACGGTAGAATCGACCCCTTAATAATAATCCAGATCATTAGTAATAGAACGAGCGAATTATGAGATGTTTTTTTAATTAAATATAATATAGGGCTTGAAGGCCCGCGGGCAAAAAGGTAGTCCACCATTATTTCAAAAACAAGTAAAGTTAGGAATTTACCTAAGATGTGAAAGATCAGGCGACTTTGCTAACACGATATAGAAAGATCGTCATATTGTCAATTTTATACAGAAAGCAATGTTGTTGCTTTGTTTACAGAAAGCGAGGTTGTTTAGATTATAACTGCATATAAGTTTTAAGTACACTTTATTTTTTGTTTTATAACATATAAGTTGGCCAGGTCCTTTCTTTGAAATAATTGTTGAAGGATTTCTAGGCTATATAAATTTTCAAACAAACATTCCAAAACATCATAGGTTTATGACAATAACAAAAGCTTTTAATAATTTGGAATGAAAAACTGCGCCCTTTGGCCATACACGATATATGTTCTAAGCCAGTGTTTGAGCACTATAATTATTATTAAGAACTATTGTGTTCTTATATTATATTAAAATATTATAATATTTTATGTTTATCACATTTTCATTAAGATAAGTTTGTATTTTTATGTTGTAAGTTGGTACCGACAATAAGGGTCGAATCAGGTAAAACTGTAGATCATTGAGCGTGGGTTAACCCGCTAACAAGTACAGATTAAAAATATCAACACTCAATAATGTAAGTCACAATTGAAAATAATATCAATAAATCTTAAAAATGTTTGTTTTTACATATCAAGACGAGAACCAATAATTAATATCTCTTTATTATATATTAAAATATATTTATATAAACAATCACAGATATTATAAATGTGTTTGTGAGATATCAATTAGAAATCAGACGGATTAGTTTTTAATGAAAGTTTAAAATAATTATTTTTGGAATAGTTGTAAACTTTATCATCATTTTAAAAATTACTTAAACCCACTTCTTGGTGAATAGATCAGTTATATACACATGTTGAAAAGTTCATGCAGCTTGCCATAAAGCAAAATGCTACTTACTTATCTAGTTGAGTTCCAGTCGTTCAAAGCGATTGCTTTTTTAAAAAAAGTTTCCAATTTCCAAAACGATTCAAAATACAAAAAAAAACATTTTTTTTAAAAGCCTCTTTTTTTAAATTCTCAAAAATCTATTTCTTTCAAGTTTTAAAAAAGTTTTGAATTATTAAAAAATTCAAATTTTCGGTACGGAAAGTTCCAGCAATTTGCCTTGAGAAACGATGTCATGCATCACTATATAGTTTTTTTTTTTATTTTTACAATGTTAATCCTGTCAGATGTTGATCGTCATTGTCACAGTCTTGTCGAAGTAGTCAGTTCATACGTGTATCGCGCCTTCTAAAGTTTATTTTGAAGGTGGTTTTGTCATGGTTTTCTGCGTGATTTATTGTTATTCGCAATTAATAACTTCCCGTAGGGTAAGTTATAGTAATCGCGAAAAATCAAAAATAAAAAATTTTATATGACTTTACGTTTTATTTTGGCATGCCTTAGAAAAAAATGGATGCATGGGTGGGTGTATGTGTGTGTGTGCGGATACAAATTTTCGTCGAAGATTTCGGGAACACGCTTCAACCGATTTCAAATATTCAAAAAAAAATCGATTACTGTTGATAGGGAGACGTGCTGATTAGTCTAGCCGTTTCGAAGATACGGGGCAAAAAGTGCCACAAACGGTAACTCAGTTTGTAAGAGAACGGAGCGTCCGATTTTAATAATTTAAAAAGGATTTTACTTGTATTGACAAGATGAAGAATTGATCAAACTTTCATGAAGGCAGGTCTAGCAGTTTCGGAGATCGAGTGAAAAAAGTAAAAAAAAGCCATTTGGAGGTCAAAAATGATCTTTAGACATATGCACATAAAATTATCAGATAGTTTATAGAGATTTTAACAATAAGTATAAGTTCTGTTTACACTCCTATGGGTGCCGTACCAATGTTTACCCGTTAGACGGCGACGCGGCGCTTACACGCTTCGATATTTCAACTCTATTGCTTTGAAAAAAAGTTCAAAACTTCCAAAATATTTCAAAATAAAGATTTTCCAAAATATTTCAAAACAAAGAAAACATTTTTTTCAAAGTCTTTTTTTCCAAAAAAGTATAGTTTTGTCAAAAATTTATATATTTCAAAAATCTAATTTTTTTGAAGCATTTTTTTTTTTCAAAAATGTTAATCTTTAAAAAAAATTTTTGGTACGGGAAGTTCCAGCAATTTGCCTTAAGGCACGATGCCATGCGCCCCACTAGCATCTATTAAAATTAATCAGAGCTTATTAGTACTAGTGATTTTAATCAGTATTTGATAAAAATTTTATTATTTATTCATTTTTGTTTACTTTTGGACTACAAGACGGTTCAATCGAGACCAAGAAATAATAAAACTGAAACAGGTCAAAGGTAATTGGCTTTTTACTTTTTGTCTAACTACAAGGTAAATATTACTTTTAAAAACAAACCACCGGTTAAAAGAAGAAACTTGCGTTATTGCAGAACCCTCTTTTCCCATTATGAGCCTGGAAAGCGTTTTTGTTTTTTCCACTGTCAAAACTATTATTTATATGGGTATTTTCCGAAGTTAGATATTTTTTGTACGCAAATTACCCAATCGTATTTCCACATTTTCACGTGGCACGAATAAAAACAGCAAGTGCAAAAACCATGACATTGTGTGTCACATTAAGTTTATCAATAAAATTCGAGGACGCCATAGTTCAAGGTTCATTTATTACGATAATAAAACGTGAAATTAAATAAATATTGCTGATGAAGATGTTAATTATTGTTTTTATTATTATTTTATCTGCTTTTCATCGAAATTGCCAATTGCGCGATAATTAATTTAATATGCTTCGCGAAAACGATCTGTTATAATTTGTTATTACATTTGAATAATAAAAATGCTTATGTGATTGACAATTTCAGTGATAATAATATATTTATGACTAAAAATCCATTTACTTGTTTTTTAGGTGAACAATCTCTATAATACATCAGCTAATACGGTCATATTTTAAAATTCATTTTATTTTAGAATTTATTGAAATTGTTTGTTATATTTTTTAATGAGTATTTAATGTTTATTTTATGATCCGCATTAAATAAATTGTTTGATTCAAGTTTTATCAACAAGTAGTCTGGCAGAATTGATTTATTTAAAAAATACTTATAGATGATTTTTACGTAGGTATCTTTAGTACATTTTATTTCTACTTGTACTTATGATATTATTCAATAAATTTACTAGCAGGGGGAAGTCCCGTAATGCCGGACGGCACTTAGCGCCGGACACTCTATTTAACACGTATTATTTAAGCAAGTATGAATCGTTTTATTTTAAAATACAAGTGTAAGGAGCGCGGGGGGCACACAGGTGCTGGATAACGCGCCAAGACTCACCTGTGACGGCGGGAGGAACCCTTTGCTGTTTTAGGCGCAAAATCACGGCGTCACCTAAATATCAATGGAAGTAATTCTAGTATTTTCATGCATTTACATTTGAGTGGTATGTAAAGATAAAAGTAGTACTTGATTGTTAACCGTAAGATGGTAGAATATTATTAGATCTTTTACGGTACTAGGTGCCACTTTTTAAAATCATATTTTGTGCTACCAATGTTTGATTGATAGTATTAATTATTCTTTAGCATAGGTTGCGTTTTTGTTATTTTAATTTGACTACTACCTTTGTTATTTAACACAAATCATAATTTAATAAACATTTCGTAAAATATTTTTTGATTTATTTATAAATAATCTTAGGTGTCCGTCCACTTGGGGACTTCTCCCTAACATTATAGGATTTATTTAGTTACAATACATTTGACTACTATAATAAAAGTTTTAGTATTTGTTGAATTGTTTGTCAAGCTTTTCTGGACATTTTGGCCAGACATTATCATATAAGAAACAAACACTTAATTAAATTATATATTAGCTGTCGCGGTCCAATAATTTTTGCAATCACTTTGGTAGAAACAATTTTACGCTCATAAAATCTTTGGCATTTGCTGACAAAAAATCATCTCGATGGGCTTTGTTTGACCTTATCATTTAAGGTGATTACTTGGCCATCTTAAAGTTTTCTAGTGACCATAACAAATAACAATTTCATGAAGCAATATCTGGAGCATATGGTGGGTATGAACAAGTTGTAGAAGATTTTGGCGAGTGACTGCATTTAGTTTTTCTAGCTGATGATAGTAGACTTTTCAAATAATCGAGTGTAATCTGGTGAAAGCTTAAAGCTTAAAGCT